GTTGGACTTCCAAAGCCCCATCTGTCCTTCACGGGCTTCATTTGGGTCGCCCAAGGGGCCCCGTTGCCTTATCCGTCCACCGAGAATGCCTTTTTGACCCCCCACCTTTGCAACAGGCTCCCTCTTGCAATCAACCGGCTCCCCGCATGGGGAGATCTCCCCGAGGTCTTGACCTGTTGAATGTCAGGAAGCGTCAACGGGGGAGCCCAAGGCTAACATTCCACAGATGTTGCTTTATGAGTGCCTTGCAATAAACCCAACCAAGAGGAGAGAGGGCAGTTTTACTTTAAGAGCTGCCTTTTGACTCCCCCGGGCCCAGCATTTTTTCCCATCATTGAGATGGTAATAAAGCGTCGGGCCTCCCAGAGCAGGAAGGAGAGTTCGTTCGGCCGTCGGTTGAGTGGATTCCTGCCCAGGGCAGGGGGTTGGATGAGGTGATCCTCAAGATCCCTTCTATTCTAGGATTCCATGTCCTGGATTCTTCCTACAAAGGGGGTTGGACTAGATTGTCTCTGGGGCCCCGTCCAGACTGGGGTTCCATGCAGTGAATTCCTCCAGGAAGAGGCTTGATGATCTCTAAGTTCCCCTCCAACGCTTCCCTTCTAGGATTCCCTGCAGGGGACCCCCTCGCTGGGAGGGGGATCAGCTGGATGGTCTTCGGGAGCCCGTTCAACCCTTAGATGCTTTCATGCTGCGAGAGGGGAAGAAAAAGGTTGAACTTTCCTGAGCAGGGTATCCGGTACGCCAATGCACCTTTTGCAAAACAGGGAGAGAATTGTACATTTTAGGAAGGACTGTAGGATCCCAGGCCCTGGGTTCTGCCACGAAGCGGAAATCCAAGTCAGGCCAAAATCCTGTTGGGCCTGAACGCCAGAGACACCGAGTCACGCCCTCCTGTCCTTGAACCCACCGGTCTCTCCAGAAAGAACTAATTGTTTCCTTTGCTAATTACCAGGTTCCTTGGCTTTGCCACGCCAACGTTGAAGGTGTTCGTTAAATAAACCCAAAAATCTCGAATAGCCTGGTTTTTGAGAAAGGGACGGCCCAGAATCGTAGCCGATTTATCGGACACACCCCAAAATATACCCTTGCGTGTGTCCTCGGGTACAAAAGGCAAACCGGGGTGTTAAAAGAAGGCATAAATATTTATGGATAGTTCTTTGTTTGGGCAGACAACCAGTGGAGGAAAAAATCACGCCATCTGCTTGGCAGGAAAGGCTTTAGAATCCCAGCTTCAGAGGTAAACTGCCTCTGAACATGGAAGCTCTTTGCTTCAGTTTATCGTACCCAGCTTTTTGACCAGTAGGAGCCAGCGATCTGTTAGTTAAAAATACGTGGCAACGTTCAGCCCCAAAGTAGTTTAACAACCCACAGAGAAACCAGAATCAGATATTGAAAAGAGATCAATGAACACCTTAAAATTAGGACTGGCCCATTCAAACCCGCATCGTGCTCCCGAAGAGTCGCTTGGGGGAAGGAAGATGGGGTGGCGGGTTCTTCTAACTTTACAGTCACCCCCACTTTGCAATTCAAAAGCACTTCTCACGTAACCTGACTAGTTGTTCCCACAGCCTTTCGACTACAATTCCCCTCTTGCCCGACCAACGGGGATGATGGGCGTTGGACTCCTGACGCCTCTGAGCCCTCCTGAGCTAGAAGAGGCTGTGGGAAACGTGCATCGGCGGGTGTGTGCACACGGACGTCGCTAGCACAATGATCTCACACGGGTGTGTGTTCAGCGTGGGCCCTTTCGTTGTCTGCTTGTGGCGTGCCGTTTCGGAGTTTACCTCCAGTGTTGGAATGTGGCCGTTTGTGGCTCTGTTTAGTGTGGGAACACAGTTGTTGGTTTAGGGTATGGTGCTAACCAGGTTGTTACAATAAACCATCATATGGCTTGTTTGAGGATAGCATGTTCTGTGAACCCTAGAATTGTCATTTCTTAAGGGTTAAGGCAGTGTTTCTCCCCCTTGGCCACTTTAAGATAGGTGGACTTCAACTCCTAGAATCCCCCAGCCAG